CGGTTGCCTTAAATATATTGACAAGAACAGAAAATTGAACGTAGGAAAAAGGTAATAGATGACAACCCGAAGATTGCTGTTTTTCTCCAATGGAAAAAAACCAAGTTCCCGGGGCAAACCATATCAATCACTGTCAAAATTTGGCAAAAGAAATTTCGGTTCTCCGAGGTCAGGAAAGATTGTACACGATCAACATGTAACATAATTTTTGTCAAGCTGATTGGTAAACTTTTTACATTAATAATGTCAATAACAGAGCCTCAGGAATTTGTAAACAACAAGAAAAATACCTTCTCGAGAAAAACGAAATAAAAATAAATACAGGAAGGTGAAAACAGAGGAAAAATATAACAATTTTTGTTTTTCGCAATCAATGCAATCATTTAGTGCGGCTAAAACAACTCGACCTTGAGGAATATCTCCACTGCCTTATGTCAGGGCCCGCGCGTTGGCACACGTGACGTCATCGGCCCGGTAAACACCGAATAAAAAGTTTTTGCGATCTCAACGATTGGGGATATGCAATGTAGATAACCATTCACACTTTGATAGCCGTTTGAGAGAAAAGTGGGGAAGGGGCTGAGCATTGTGGAACTCGGTGAGACGGTTGAGTGGAAAACACGAAGCTACCTTGATGTCACAACCGATGCATGACAAATTTCATACGATATTATTCCTCATTGAATTCTTTTGTTATTCTGATTTTCCTTCATGTGATAAAAATGGACTGTATTATTTTTTTCATCTGACTCAGAATGAGTGCTTTGAGAGGCTACCTAGTGCACGAGGATGTGGCCTACTTCTTGGAATGCATTAGAAGACGATGCAAAATACAAGAGAAATATATTTTTACACCGAGAAACTGCGAACATTAACAACAGGTTAACTCGAATACACCATTCGTCACAGCGTATGAAGAGCCAAGGAGGAAAAGAGAAATGAGCGACTAGTTTAAGCTTTTGAAAACAATCTCTCTCTAAAACTCCGGAAAAAAAAACAAGCTGAGAATATAAAAAACACACGCTGAGACATTTTTCGCAACTGCTTTTGTTCATAGCCGAAAGTGTTGTAAAAAAAGAATAAGAAGGAAAAAAAAAGAGTTCAACGAACAGTGGAAGAAATTACTGTCAGCGATAAGAGAATTTTTAGAATAAATAAAAAGTGCTGGTAAATATTTTTTTATGGTATCAAACTGCATTTTATTTTTTGCACCGCAATAAACCACTTGACGCGCTTTTAATCTCGACTATTAACGCTCTAAAAGGAATAAAAGAATCTGTATGTGAAAGCGATGATATCGCTGCGTGAAAAAAAATTCTATCAATTTTACTGGGATTGTGCAATTCTCCTGCTCTTTTTTTCTCCTGTATTCTGCCGTTTTTTTTTCCTATCGACTACACATCCATAAGCCGTGAAATGGATTCATCGATGCGTCATCGTGCAAACTGTGGCAAAATCGCCAATTTTTCTGCCCAGTGTCAGCGACACATTGCCCATATGCGTTTGTGAAAAAAAAAAAAAACAGTTTGTGCGTGGTGCAAAGTTATGAAACTAAACCTAGGGAACAAAGAAAAATGCATCCGGTCCGACAGTTTGCAACGAGAGCACTCATACAGACTTTTAAACCTGCACATACAATTTCTCCCCTTCCTTACCATCTCTCGTTCACTCATCTCTCCCCTTTTCTCGTTTAGCACACATCTCAATGTATATCTTTATTGTTTTTTGCGTAACCGCATTACGCGCTCGCAATAAAACTCGATAAAAATGAGATGTTGCTCTATCGAGAAGTGGAAAGAAGGAGGACGAGGGGGGGGGGAGGGGGAGGAGTAAAAAAAAATGGCAAAATGAAATAGTCAAAAAGAAATGCGGAGAAATGGGAAAGAAAAAGAGACGGAAGAGATAAAAAGACGCAGAGGCATTTATTTCTGTCAGATAACGTCGGCCAAGTGGATCGCACGAGGCGCGCTCTATTTTTGCAGAAGTTGTAGTGGTTTTGGAAGATTTCAGATGCCACAAAGCTTTCCCTAGATTAATCCCCCTAACTCCAACGAAAAAAAAAGTCGAAATAAAATTGCAATTAAAATACCAGCTGAATTCCACCCGAAAAAAGAAAACATGAACCAGCCGGGGGAGCCAATTTATCCCGTTACATCAATTTTTCAAGATTCATCCTGACAGAGGCAGTTAGGGAGAACAACGACCCTCGTAATATCGCGTGTTTCACCATTGAAACTCTGCCAAAGCGGTAAAAACCGATAAAGATTTACTCCTCACATCTGTCAGGCCAAAGTGTCTATTTTTTATTTCCCCTCCGTACGAAAAGTCGAAAAATGTATTTGCCAATTTTTGCCAATATGCATGATATTTTGGGGCGATAAATAGTACAAAATTGAAGCAGGGAAGGGGGGAAAAATAAGCGCGTTCTTTCAGATGAAGCGCGTAGGACGAAAGCGTCGGGACTCGCAGTTTAATGTCTCTAATAATTCACCATACGATGCAAGAACGTGACTGGTGTGTTATATCCAAGGCCACGATGCGATATTTTTAGTTTTTCAAAGTCTACTCTCTTTGACCCCCTCCCCCGCCTCCGCCCCACTCTTCGCATTAAGAAGAAATAACAGAATAAAATCATTGAGGATAATGAAAAAAAAATTTGTTTAAGCTTGTGAACAGTAAATTTCGGCGGTTTGAGTTTGATAGGAGAATGGACCTTGAATATTTCGGATAACATCTGCTCTCTTATCTCACGCCCCCTGATAATTTTTTTTTTCAGTACTAACCTAGCATAAGCCAGTCGTTCAAATATTAATTCGAAATGGCCCAGACCGCACCTGAATTTACACACTGTCTCGACGATTTGCCTACCGCCATTTTATATTTATGTTTATTTCCGTCCATTTTGGGATAGAAGTTATAGGTGTGATTATTCTGGAAGGACACTTGCGAAATTCACTCCCTCTCTTTGCCTCTTTCAAACAGAATACATGATTTTTCTGTTGATTTTATTGATGTTTGATGTTCTCAATGTATGATTCTTTCTCTCCTCTCTGTTTTTTTTTCTCACTCCGTCCTTTGATGTCTTTCATATTCGTTTTTTTTTGTATTTAGCTTTATTCAAGCACGATGATAACGCGGGGCATACGATGACAACAAAGTGTAACGTCGAAATATGAAATTGGTGTTTCCGGTAGGGCAGTAAAGTCCGGGTGTACAAGTATAACGCATTTTGTGATAGTATATTTATGTGCAATACGTCCGTTATACGGGTCAAGTGACAAATCTATCACATACTCTTGCCATTATATGTTGGAAAAATCATAAACTAAGAAACTGTACTGATTTTATGGTCTAAATTCTATACTTATACATTAAAAGCCATAAATACATATTTCATTGATTATTAGATTTTAATTTGCACATGGAGGTCACCTAAAGTGTTTTTTAGGTAATTCTCTTGCGGGACAACTACACATTGATATGAATGAGAGAGTGACAGAGTAATATGACAGTACGAGCACTGCACGAATTTTAATGATTGCTCGGTATTTTCTATCGTAATCAATGAATGGTGGATTAAAGACGTAATGAGAAAGCGTCGAGAGTCACAGCTCAACATACTATATCCTGTCCACATCACGCTGATACGAATGTTTCCTTTGAGAATGAAAAGAAAAAAAGTAATTTATGTTCCTATTTTACCGCCGCTACGACGTCACCTTTGCCAATGTCTTTTGAAGCGCTTTTTCATTCTTTTCTCATAAATTCAGAAATTCTAAAGTTTGATTCAAATCTTTATTTGTCTAACGGCTATGTGTCATCGAGGGTGACGCCTCGTAACGGTCTAAATTGTACAGTGATGCCAAACTCACGGATTTTTTGACAATTTTTTTTCGTCCGTTTCATCGCCAATTGTTTAATGACTTGGTGGTTCAATGACGGTGGAGAACCTATCGTTTCACTGATCATTTATAGAGGATTCTTGAGACAATTTTTTCCGTTTTCTCAACGTCATTGGTGAGAATTATGGAGTGCAGAGTATCTCAAGCTGGCGCATTTTATTGAGTGTTACGACTGCTCGACCTTGAGATGTTGAAGCTTAAAAACTTTGTACAATCGACAAGACACTTGAGTTTGATAAAATTAAGCACCTCCCAATGATAATCCCATTATTGATATTCACCGAGTGCTGTATTTAGATTTCGAATTTCGTTATCGTACCTGCCGAAATTGGTGAGAGGTCATATTTCCACTGGATTCTGATGCTTTTAATGCCACAGTGAACAAATAATTTCTTCGTCATATCACCACCAAGTTCACATTCTTCGTTCTTTATATTCCGAAAAACGCATTTAATTTTTGCCATGAATACTTGTTTTGTGGTAAATGCGAATGATGTGAATTTGATGATTTTGAAAAAAGTGAATAGAATGAATGAATTTCGATGATTTGGAAACGCATGCCAATTAGGAGAAAATTTTGATTTTTTTTTAATTTCCAAAGCAGAGACAGTAGTGCTCTTTCACCGCAACCAATTAAAATTTTTTGAATTTTTGATATTGTTTTGAATAAATTTTGCGTGGTTTAACATTAAATTTTGTTTGTTAGTTTGATATAACTGCACAAGTCAATAGTTGACCAAATTAGACCGAAACCAGTACATTCAAGGCGAGTTCTATCTGCCTTTTTAATTTTAATTTTTTTCCAATGCATTGGTCATATTTTGTTTTTTATCAATTAAAAACAAGAGAGTAAACAAAAGTAATATAGTGTAGCGAGGAGTGCCCTTGGAAAAAATCAAAAGAATGACACTGACTTTGAATTGATAATGAAATTAATATAAACGTCGTAACCTCGATGTGACACACGTGATAACGAGGAGGAAAAGTGAAGAAAAGTCTTGTCACTAATTCCTGAATTATTCTTGTGATTTTATCGGGCATGTAAAATTAACAAAAATGGTGTACACAGAGATGGTTATTGGTTTTTGTTTATCTTACCTTGTGATGTCCCTGCTAGATCTGGCGTCTGGAGTCCATGAGGCAACCCTGGAAATTTCACTATTGTCAAACGTAGCGACAAATAGTCCTCCATTAATTATGGAATATTTCGGCCTGTACGCAGTTACACAATTAGAATAACATAAGCGTAATAACTCAAACAATAATGAGGATTAAAATGATACGGATGTAATTGAAGGACAAGAAAATTTCCAAGTAGAAGAAACTTTACATATGAAGTGCATGTGGATGTAACAATTTTTTTGTATTTCAATGAGTTTGATATCGTTTTGATCATGATTCATTATTTCAAAAATAATTTAAAATCGAAAATCATTTGATGTGGGAAATTTTGAGTTCCACTGAAATTTCAGGGAATTTCGTTATTGAAAATGTAAAATTTTACGGAGAACTCAATGGAAACTATAAATTCCAGTTCAACTATGTCATAAAATTGATAGATATTGAAATTGAGGTAAATATATCCTTGAATTCAGTAGCCAAGTGATAAAACGATTCTAGTCAATTTCGACAATTGGCCAGTTTTCACTGAATATCTCGAAATCTAGGGCAGATAGCAAAGTTTTTGTTACGACCTTTTTTGTAGCCCTCAATTCGCTCTACAAAAAAGGTTATTAGAAAAATTCCGTTATCTCCCTTAGATTCGGAGATATTCCTCGAAAACTCAGCTAAGGGCTAAATCGACTTGAACCGTTTTCCCTAGGGATGCAAAATGACGATAATTTTTTTACATGCGTCAAGTCAGCCGTAAATTTACCCTTTTCGGACCATTTCTGACTTGACGCATACTTCGTGATGCAAAATGAACCGTCAACTTACCCAATTGTCAGTAATTTTTTCTCGTTGTCATTTATGCTCAATGGTCATTTTTTCTTCATTTCCTTCATGAATTTTTTTAGAAATTTGAATAAAATTATGAATAACGCCAAAACGCAAATCGAAAATTTAGTCAATATTACCTTAGTGTGGAATTGCAAAAAAATTTGAAAAGTTTTGTAGCACTTTTCTTATTTATTTTTATCGTGAAATCTATAAAGCTCAATTATAGAATAACAGTCGTATAAAATTTTTCATTAGATAAATGATCTCGTAAATTTTCTCATTTGAGAACTAATTAAAGAACGCTCTCAGAAATACGATGCCTAAAGCAGCTTATCTCTTACTAAAATTTGGAGAGCTCTGAGGTCCAAGGCTCAACCCAGGGGCCGAATTTCAAAGTAACACGGTAACATGATGAACGATATTTGTCGCGCTGTATCTAAATGTCAAATGATCGTCAAGATTTTCTTTGGTCATTTTTGTGACGTGTAATTTACGTTTAAAATGGCGGTAAATAAAATGTTCGTTCAGCATTGTCCGTTACATCCCTAGTTTTACCACCTCGCTACTGAATTTTCAAGTACTGATTGCCAGAAAGGTATCATAACATTCAATACAGGTAAAGCTCTCTAGTTGGATTCAAATAAAATGAAAAAATTATCAAAATTGGTCTGTGCGTAAAGGCCGGTCTTCCAAAACACGGGAAACATTAATTTACCTGATAATGGACTGTGATCTGTAGTTAACGCTGCCATACTGAAATTAAAGCTTCCTGGTGTAGACGTGAACAATTTACTCTCTGGTAAAAAATTGGGCGTCGACGGATGTTCAGGAGGTTCATGCTCATGTTCATTACTACTCGCTGACGCTGGTGGTCTATCAGAAGCCGCTGCACCCGAGTCCGAAGAGTCCTCATTATGTCCACCAGTACCACCATTACCACCAGTCAATTCCAACGGCTCACACTTAATGTTCTCCTCAATCCGACTGTGCTCATCCGGCAAACCATTGCCCTCGACTTTCGCCGAAAAATGATTTTTTACCATTGAAAAGTCTGTGGGTGTTGCATCATTATTGTTCAATGGTGGTGATGGTAAACGCGATCTCTTTATACTCTCATCGTGTAAATCTGGTGAACGCCTCTCATTTCTACGTATTTGTGCGCGACGTAATAATTGTTGTACTGTTGTTGGAGTTGGTGTTGCTGGGGTTGGTGGTGAACCACCACGTGGAAAACCCTCGTCTGACAACTTTTCGTGGGGCGATACGTGATTGGTGCGTGCAGCTAACGCACGTACCTGCGATAGCTGTACGAAATTAATTGATAATTTGAGAACAAGGGATTTTTTTCCTCAGACAAATTGATTACAGGGGATCCAGTGGTATAAATTGAATAGCCGATTTACGCAAAGTTGTAATTACTGGGTTTTGACATTCAATAAAAGAGTGGAGAACATTTATCGAAGCAAGGAAGAGACAATTTCCAATTGTTTTTTCACAAGTTTAGTGTTACTTCAATCTAGGGATAATTTAGAGAATCAAATCTCTTCATTAGACAGCAATCGTTTGTTTGCTTGACCTATGACAATCTCCCAATCAAGATAACGCGGTAATAATTTCAACGGAATAAAATGAAAGCCAGTGGATTTTCCAACTCAATTGATAAGAACCACCTTTTTATCATTGCGATTTCCGCTAGTACAGTATTCATGATTGGTCTAGGCTTTACCGACTTTTATTGGGCGCCCGATCCTTTTGGAAAAAAAGCAAAGGAGAGATTTATGGCTTCTTTTAATTGGACAAGAATTTACTCTCTGACGTTTTTTTGATCTTGTCGCTGGAGTCAAGGATACAGCACAGTGGGGAATGTAATGATGATTATTTTTTACTGTCTTACCTCGTCCCTCTCAGTCGCGTCAGCCTGCTGTGTGAGACCAGACACCCTCAGGACCTCGGCGGTCTTCAGGAAGCTGCTGAGTGATCTCTGATGGACGTTAACTTCACCGTGGTAAATAAATTCCACCAAGGCATGCAAATCACTAAATGCAACATCCTGAAGTACTATCACCGGATGTTTGCACGGTGTGCTCTGCAAAAAAAACATGACAATTTCGGCGTTGAGACATATGGCTGCATTCCATTACACTCATTGATTACCACTACCAAAAATTCCGTATTTTCATCTTTCTTTGTAACTTCAATTATTACAGATAAAGAACATGTCTTCAAACAATGAGAGACAAACACTATTCAGCACGAAATTAGCTTACTTCGAACAAGATCCTGAGACTCATTAGTTCCATATTATGGTCGATTAGAATGGAAAATTTTCGTTACATACTGCTAACAGATGTGAACATTCAACCAAATAAGTAAAGAGCAAATAAAAAGGCCCATTTTAAAAATTTCCCAGTTTTAGGCATTTATTGACTTAATTTTTTACCAGTTTGACGTGGGAAATTTTCGTTGCGCACTTCGAATAAATGTGGAGTTTTATTTGAATAATGGATGAGTAAATAGAATTTGTAGTGCGGAACTTGCGCAGTTCTAGGCACCTGATAGTTCAAATTTTGGTGCAATAATAACTTCACTAAAACAGTCTCTGTTTAACAACTCTATCTATCTTAAGGTGTATGTTGACAACGGTATCGAACCGAAAAATTCTATCGGTGATCCTGGCTGCACTCAATTCTTCACCATCACGATCCGTGCCGAATCGTAAGATCTTTATTTATGCGTCAAAAAGTCTACCATCATGAGCTGTGCTTAACAACACTATCCACGTACACTCACAGGGAGAAATATTCAGTAAAAATTACGGAGCAATTCACGTAATCCGCAATGGGGAATCGTTTTCCGGCAATTTTTATAGGAATAGAAGAGAAGAAATCTGAAACGTTCAGTGAATTCTCAGATTACCGAACAAAGTATGAAATTGTCATGTAATTTTTCCCGAAGAAGTAAAATCTTACACAAACTTCCCGACTTATTATGCCTCTAAAATAAGAAAATTCTTGAATGTTCAATAATTTTTATGCAGCTGGTGAGTTATTTCTACGTTCCGTTCCGTAAAATTTCTCAATTGTTGGGGAAAAATTACGGAACGACTTGTTGTCCCCGCAGAGGTAAGTCATCAGACGGGTGGTTAATTTTTACGGAACAAATCGTAGAAGTTACGTGGCGATTCGTACAATGTCATTTCCCACTCACACTTTTTATTGAATTTTACTTCGCTCGCGGATTACGTTTCGACACGTAATTTTTCAGTTTTTTTTCTGGTAATTTTTGTTGAATTTTTCTCTCCGTGCTGAAAGAAAAACGAACAAGTTCTCAAACAAGTCTTGTTTGGGCCGACAAAATCGTTTGTTGCAAATAAGCCACAAAATAATTGTTTGGTTCGAATTTGAAAGTATCAGACATGAATAATCGCTCTGCTTTCAACAACAACAAAATATTTGGCTCAAGAGGAGGATCATTTGCACAAAACGGTGCCTTTTTAGGATAAAAAAATCTTTTTCATCACGCTGTGACGAAAAGTGAACTTTTAGGCACGCGGAGCGTGCCTAAAAGTCCAATTTCCGTCACATTGTGATCAAAAATATTGTTCGTAACTCGTGAAAAAATGTTTTTTAGCTCGTGGGATTATATCACTAGCCGAAGGCGAGTTAACCTCCCACTCGCCAAAAAACACTTTTTTGCACTCGTTACGAAATATACTATTATAGAGGGAAGTTTATCAAGAAATAATTTGTCCCTAAGCTACAAGATTGCTGTCACAGCATTATTATTATTTCATTGAAGCATTCATTTTTTGTCTGTGATTACTGAATAGCCGAAACGACAAACTACTATGCCTCGTTTCATATAAAACGAGCATTTGCTGGGCGCAAAATATGTATGAGAGAATCGAATAACGACGAAGTAGTGCTAGAATAGTATATTTCGTAACGAGTGCAAAAAAGTGTTTTTTAGCGAGTGAGAGGTTTATATCACGAGCCGAAGGCGAGTGATATAATCCCACGAGCTAAAAAACATTTTTTCACGAGTTACGAACAATATTTTTCATCACAATGTGGCGGAAATTGGACTTTTAGGCACGCGGAGCGTGCCGAAAAGTTCACTTTCCGTCACAGCGTGATGAAAATTACATTTCTTGCTTGCACAGAGAATACCTTTTTTGAACAGACTAAATCTATTTTTGCACTAAAAATGTTTAATCTCGGCGCACGCTTCCAATGATTGGCACAAAAAAATCCGTCTTTGACAATGTTCAATGAACGATTTATTTAGCACAAGTAAGACTTGTTTGAGAACCCTGCTGTTTTTCTCTCAATGTAGGCACCTAACGGCAACTAATGGCACTCATTATACCAATTCGGAAAGTCAATCAGTACAATTGATAACCAGTAGATGAGTCTATGAAGAGATTTGTTACAGGATATCGGTGAACTCACCCTAGGAGAAATTGCTCGAAATTCTGCGCCATTGAGCCAGACTGCCTTATACCTATAACATTGAATGTCGCGCCCCAACTCATGCCGCGACGTTTTTGCGCCATGAAATTTCTACTAGGGCATTGAGGGATACAGATATTACGATTTAGCCCGGATGTTTCGTATATAAATTGGGAGAGGTGAAGTTCGATCCTGTTGTAATGGCAGAGGAATTCACTGTAGCCATAATCACCGTTCGAATTATTTTACCCTTTTTAAATGGCATATTTGTTAGCCGCGCCGACAACCCATAGGAGCGGTATATGCTTTACATGAGGGCATACCCTCATTTTACAACGCTTAGAAATGAGGTAACTAATTCCGAAATGGTTTTAAAATGTGGATATTTGGGCTAAACATAAATACGAAGAACTTCGGAAGGTTTTTACCAAGCCCGTTTCGTGATCATCATCTTAATTTCTTGGAAATTACATGGGGAAAATGATTTCTGCAAACGAAATAACTGATAGAAATCCCCTAGTCATCTAAAACGGAAATGCATCGGTGGAACTGAAATTTCTTTCATGGGATTTTGCGCACGAAAAATTCAAATTGGCCACGGAAAGAATATAATAGTGTATTTCGACACAGGGCCTGAAAAAACTTTTCTGATGAATATGTGGTTGCAGCCTGAGCCGAAGACGAGGGCTACAATTCTATGAGCTAGAAATAGTATATTTCACGTCGAAAACCGTGGCACTAGGCGCGAACGATATTTTTCTGCACTGCTTTTCACGATTTCTCGTCTGGGAATTGGTATTACATACTTCCCAAACTCGAAAACTTGAAAATCACTACAGAAAAATATTGTTCCTGGGCTGTTGCGATGGGGTTTTTTTACTCGTGTAGTTGGCTACACGCAATCCCCACGCAACAGGCCGGAAACATACTATTTCCGTAGTGACTTTCACTTTTCCCAGTTCGGAGAAGGGTCAATACCAATCCTCGGACTGGAAAAAGTGAAGGCCAGTACGGAAATTTTTTTTTCGTGTCACGGGACATGAAAAATCCCATTTTCGTCGCGCTGCGCGCCACGAAATTGGCGTTTTTCAGGTCCCTGGACACGAAAATTAATATACACACCTCGCCATGGAAAACATATCACCCTGCCCCACGTGCAAGATTGTCTTCCGAGCCGAAGGCGAGGATGGCAAGCACGTGGGGGAGGGTGATCTGTTTTCCAAGGCTCGGGCATGTAATATACTATTTCGTGTCACGGGACCTAAAATAGGATATTTCGTTACGACTGCGGAAAAGGGTTTTTTGGCTCGTGGGAGGTTTATAGCACGAGCCGAAGGCAAGTGATATAATACCACGAGCTAAAAAACACTTTTTTCACGAGTTACGAACAATATTTTTCATCACAATGTGGCGGAAATTGGACTTTTAGGCACGCGGAGCGTGCCGAAAAGTTCACTTTTCGTCACAGCGTGATGAAATAGTATATTTCGTAACGAGTGCAAAAAAGTGTTTTTTGGCGAGTGGGAGGTTTATATCACGAGCCGAAGGCGAGTGATATAATCTCACGAGCTAAAAACCATTTTTTCACGAGTTACGACCAATATTTTTCATCACAATGTGGCGGAAATTGGACTTTTAGGCACGCGGAGCGTGTCGAAAAGTTCACTTTTCGTCACAGCGTGATGAAAATTAATATACACACCTCTCACACACGTGCTTGCCATCCTCGCCTTCGGCTCGGAAAGCAATCTTGCACGTGGGGGACGGTGATGTGTTTTCCAAGGCTCAATCATATAATGTACTATTTCGACATTGTTGCTACGTCCACCTCGTGCCGGAAAGTGCCTTTTCGGTTACTTGTAAAAATAAGAGACAGTTCAGCCACTCGCTAAACGTAATATCACTGTCAAAAAATATTGATCGACACATGTGAGACGGGAATTACGTCTCACTCATATCGAAATATACTGTTTCGGCCTAATGACGAACTACGACGAACTATGGCGATACTATTTAGGCCGTATGGCGAATAATATTTTTTGTCACAACGACCGTAGGCTGCGATTTATGGACGCATAGCATCCGGAATGACAAAAAATTATTTGTTACTATGGAAACATAGTAATCGAGAATTACCACATCCAACATTTACTGTTGAACATAGCACACATTGCAAGTTGGTATAGTAGAATGTCGTAGAATAAAAACAAAATTTAATTTGGCACGAGTAAAAATTCGGTTAAGATAAATCAAATTTTAAAGTTGTTCGGTATAATCTTCGATTACTATGTTCACATTGTAATTTTTAATTTTGTATTCTCTCCGTATCATCAGTAATTAGAGGAGGATGGTAATTGTTCGAACCACTCATCTTTTGCTTTGACTAATTAATCACGGACTAAAACTAAAAACGACGGAGAAATTACAAATGAAAGCAACAAATTTGTCAGTAATGAGAAAAGTTGGAAAATGGCCAAATATGATTTAGGAGACGATAAAAATGGAAACAAAATAAGAGCCTCAACTTCATAAATGTGGAAATAGAGAAAAGAATTGAAAATCCCCTACGAAAAAATTGTAAATTCATTGATTACAAAGGAAAAAATAAAGACTGGGAAGCAAAGCGCAGTTTAATGTAGGTAATCAGGAGAATATGGACCATATATCTACAATTACAAGTGGCTAAGAGGAGGAACAGGAGAGCGAAGTCGGGGGATACGGTCGAAATCATGCGGTGCCCCCCTTCCCCTCGACGTTGCTCTGCCGTTCCTCCTCTTAACCATTTGTAGTTGTAGAGATATGGTCCATATTCTCCTGACTCTCCTAGTTTTCCAGTATTCCATTGAGTTTTAGTCCGCAGTTTCAATTTTTTACTTTTGGATCAGTTAATTACAACTTTTTCCTCGAGGGTTTTTAATTTCTATTTTTGCTTCCGAATGGTGGCATTGTAATCGTTCAAATTTAAATTTTGGATTTTTTGTGTGATATCGACCCATTATGATCCAAAAATTCCAGAAATGCAATTTTTAGACCGTGTCCGTACGTATGTGTGTGGTAAAGTTTTTCTTCAAGTGTTCTCTAATGAATGGATGTTATTGAATCTTTTTGTTTTCAAATGTAGGTATTATTGCGCCCTATCGATAGCCATTAATTAAAATTCAATCGGTTGTCTCACAATAACTAAAAAGAAATGTTCTAAACTGATTGAATGATATCTTAAAAAATTTGTTTGGATGCCCCTGTGACGGAGATGGAAGACGAAGGCGATAGCAATAATCGTTATTTTGACTTATTCGAAAATTTTCAAAAATTTTGTATTTTTTGAAAATCGGAATTCCGGAGATATCATAGAAAATCATGTTTCAAATGAATTCAATCATCGCTTAAAATGTTTGTTTTAATGCCATTAAGTCGAAGTTAAAAGATGATTACGATAGCTATATTGGTTGATTTGATTTTTATGATGATTGTTGAAAATTCTCAATTTTTCATGAATTTCCCTGAAAGTGAGCTTTCTGATGGTTTCTTCAAATGTGATGTTTCAAATTCATTCAAGTATATGTAAATAGAATTTTTCTATTAACATTTTATCAAAGGGCTGAGGCGAGAGATAGAACTGTAAAAAAGACAATCGGTTGGATAGAAAAAAAGGGATAATAAGAATAATGATGCTGATAACATTTCAAATTAGCTAAAAATCTGACGAAATTAGGTAAAAGAAAATCTTGTTCAATTTCATAACACGAAATAAACAATGAATTATACATGATAGACGGGAATGATGTGCAAAATAACCATTTGAACGCATATTGCTAATTTATTAGCAAAAATAACTATACTGTATACAACACAAGAGAAATTTTTCAGTTGTTTTTTTTTTGGTTCGGTAGACCGGAGATTTATCTTCAATTGAGCCGTTATTGTACCAAGTGGAAATTTTTCATGAAGTGCCAAAAAAAGGAAGAAGGAATTAATGGTTCGAAAAAATTGGGAAATAGCAGTGCCACTTCGAAAAATTGTAATACAAACTTACCTTGAGTAACTCACGGAAGTACGGACTGCAGGCAGAGAGTACAACCCGATGTGCTTTGAGGCTCTTGCCATCACAGGCAAGTGTAACGTCCACAAAGTCCTCATCGTCACGTAGATTTTCGAATGCAGACGTTATACTGCTCTGGTAATTGTTCCATCGCAGACAAAAATGTTGCGTATCTACCATCGTTATGTCTATTCACCTGTAATGAAGAAAAAGAAAATTCTTCACTCAACTGTGTAAATAATTACTTCAAACTACGTTTTTATGTTCTTATTTGAGCATCAATAAACCAAAGTGATTTACGTTGGAGACCATAAAAATTTGCAATTCACTGCTGGAAGTTCTTCAGGGGTGGCCAATGCCAAAAAAATTCAGTACGCATTCTTTTAGTTGAGAAAAAAAACTATCATTTCTTTTTCGGTGTTGAGAAAAAAAAAGTGAAACGAGTGAAATAAAAAATTAGGTCGTCATTCTGGCGCCGAGCCAGAAAATACGATTAAATGGCCGGTTACTTATAGAACTGCAAGTACAAAATGTCTACTGATAACTACTATCTCCGGCGAAAATGATAAAAAAAATCTGGAAACAAATTCACCCAGCTCGTTAGTTTCATCTCTCTCCCTCCATTTTTTTGCATTTTTTGTCAATTTTTTAGCGCAGATACCTTTCATCTATTTACCGATGACACCTCGACTTTCATTTCGTTTTTTACTGCTTATGAATTGGTGACGATAAATTTCCGTTATCAGAGATATTGCTCGCACATACTATCATGATTTCGGACAAATGAATTTCGCGAAATGACTTCACGCATTGGAAAAAAACAAAAAAACACCACAATTGCGGAATTACTGCCGAACAAATAGGGACAAAACACAACGAGATTAGAACAAAATTTGTAGAAATACGGCGCAAAAGATTGAGTTGTTCCTGCGTTAAAAAACGCGTGCGTTTATTTAATCGGGTTTTATGCCAGCGTCTGACCTTTAAATTTACGACCAGACCCAAATGCCCATGTGTAACATGAAGCTGCCAAACAATTGGGTCCATTATTCCCCTTAACCTCTAAAAAACTACACCAACCACGAACGTCAAGAACTCCAAAAACATGAAAAATTACAACAATTCATAAAAGACCTGGAAATACCTCATGCACATTGGGATTATTACGTAAATAATCTAAGAAGGCACTTTCACTGCACTCCGATACGAATGTCAATTGACACGTGTTGATCAACCGACCTCGACAACTGAATGAATCCTCGAAAATGTCCCGGATCAATCACTCATGACGTACCATCTGCGCGCCAAAGCAGTTTGTAAAAAAAACTGACAACTGAAATCGACGTGTTTCTCTATCAATGAAAAATCCACCTCAACCTTCTCCGTCTAATCGTCTCTACATCTAATGTCATTGAACTCCAAAGGACGAAAATATGAAAAACGATTAAATTTTAAACCAATAGAACTTGAATCAAGTATTCACACCGACGTCGTCAATTGTCTGTAGCACATGAGTAAATACACGATGTTTCAATAGTTCATTAAACTTTGTCCGCGTGTACCGGCTAGACTACATGCCAATCTCACACACCGAATTGATCCGCTGATCCACACTAACGTGACAATGTCAAACACAGAAATCAACACAAGATGATCCGCGCACGTACGTTCAAAATAATCTCAAACTCGTCTGCCTTCATTAATGAATAAATTTACTCATAGACTAGAAAATACGTTTCAATCCCCTCAGCCACTGTTCGCATATCATTAGTAAACGTGTTGTATGCGTGCCAAAGCAAGGAGTCTGTGTTATCCTACTTGCTCGACCACCCATGCCTCACCCGTCACGCCGGAGGAACTAACCCCCGTAAAACGTCACGGCCGAAACTGCCGGTTTATTCCCTCCCCTCTCTTTTTTCCCTCATCCGAGTGGTGTGTGTACATGTGGCCCATCTTTCTCTCTCGCCGTTGATCCCCCGGAACCACACGAAAATGCACGAAATCGCTCGACGTACCGCCCCAACACCCGAAAGATAGAAAATGACCGGAGAAAGAGAGGGAGCAAACTTTTGAGAAAAAAAAGTCAAAGGAAAATGATTGAGCGAGGGAATGGCTCGAGGGCTGTGTTTGCTCGTGTTTATGCGAATGTGTGTTCCTGTGTCTATGTGTATGTGAGAGAGAGAGAGACATATATTTAAAAAAATATGGATGAGAAAAGAAATGAGTGAACTCACTCGTCGACGCGTGTAAGAGCCACGCGGTCGGCGCAAAGTCGTCGGTAGTGAGTCGACGTTACTAGCGACAGGACGAGGTACCGTCGTCGAGTGCCACGAGACTCCCGACGAAGGAGCGGATGAAAACAACGGGGTTGGCGCTACTGCGCCCCGTAGAGCTAACGAATACGGTTGAATATTCTCGCTCTCCCTCGCTCTGGGAGTTTCATTGAAACGTTTGACTCTGTTTTTACCTCTGCACAACACCTGACGGATTCACGTGCTCCGACACCACGCTCTCATCCCCCCATTGCGACTGGACATTTTTAATCCCTTTTTTGCTCGAGATATTCAACGATTCAACGATTTCAGAGAGGAGTTCTAGTGTCTCGTTTCACGAACGTTCGACGACTAGAACTAGATTCGCACCGGGCGCGAGGGCAACGGTGGGCTCTCTTACTCCGCAGGGTTAGCCGGGATTGACGGAATAGAGGGAGATGGAGACACGAGAGGAAAAACGAATGCCGGAAAAAGACGAATATAAAGATGTAGGAGAGAGGAGAGAGAATATTATCTCGAGCGTGACGATATACCTAACGATGAATCGAGCGCCGGAGATTCTGCGGGTTCAAGTTGATTCTGTTCTGTGCAGAGTAGCCCGACGTTTTTGTACTAACACACAGGGGTCCACCGTGCGTTATTTCTTCATCGGCGCATGAGACATCTGTCGTAATAAGTTTGGACTAAAAAATAGTGCGTACGCAGAGTGAGAACGAATGTAAGAAGAGTGAAGAAAAAAAGAACGAAGAAAGTATGAATTGTCGAGGTAGCGAATGGGGGGGGAGGAGGGTCGCGGCAAGACGCAGAGGGGGATACGTATCTCCGAGGGAAGTGAGGCCGCAAGAGACACTCCGGGTGGGGATAGAAATCTAGCATCGCGCGCTTCGCCCCACCCGTAATACACACCGTGCAAAAAAAAGCGAGATGAAAATGCGCAAAGCTCTAACGACGGTCCAATTAAAAATAGAATTTCAGAATTTTTGAATAGCCCGAGACGTACAAAAGCCGACGCATTTGCAATTAAATCAGCCTAATTCTCTTCACCCCGTGATTCCTTCACTGTCGCCATGTTTTTTTTATTCAAATAATGTCTTTTGGTATTGTTTGTAATCCATCAAGCGACCATTTTCCTCGATTCCTTTCACATACGAATGTCTCTTCTATCCCTTTTCTCTCCGCACCACCTCGCTTCCCACCCCCTTTTATTTTTCTCTCGCTTCTCGTCGTTCTGCCATCGTGACCCCACTCGATTCACCCCCTCAAAAAATCATTACGCCCGTTCCACGGGCTGCGCATGAACGCGGTTTTAATTCGCTACTAGAAAAGTAAAATACAAGCGCCGCGCCGAGCAGGAGAAAGTTTCGGCACCAGTGGGGAACAGAGAGAGGTGAATTGCTTGGCAAAGAGGTGAAAAGGAACGAGGGAAAGGGGTTGGCGGGAGGGAGGGAGGGGAGGGACGGGGCACTGGAGTTTTTGAGGGGAGGGAATAAGGGCAAATAGAGGGAAAAAAAGATGATGAAGGCAAGCAGTGCGGAGGAGGGATGGCGGCCGAGAGAACGTCTCAGGCGATTGGATACATTCTTCTTTCTTTTCGTCATCCGCTTATAACTTTCCCTCCTACTTCGTTTCGTCTTCCATTGTAATATTTATTGATTGGGTACATCGAAAGCAAGGTGAAATACACGTACTCGTATTCCCGAGATTTTTTTTCACTTTATTCTTGTCATCCACACGGCAGGAGGAAAAAAGAAATTCAACACTGTATCGGGCAGAACGTACGTTTGCGTTTTTTCACGGTATTCCGCTCGACTATTTCCATCGATTTTTCCACAATCACTGTTTTCGGACGGCGAGAACCTTGACCGTGAATGATATAAATCGTGACCTTGGGCTCGTAGGTGTTTACGTATTTATTAAGAAGTGGTTTGTCTTTGTTGAATGCATTCAATTAGAATGTTCTCTATGTCGTCGCTGAGACGTCCGGTGAGTCAACCACGCGCGCGCGAATTGGCCTTGAGATCACATGAAACGAGAATGTTGCACATAGGAGACGACGATGAGACGCGGGGGCCTGTCTCGGAGGTTGTAAACTGTTTTCTCGCCTAGGGGGACATGTGGGACCTTTTTTTTTAGTCGTGCTTTTCGATTGATGAGTCAAACGCGAGAGAAAAAGTGGAAGTGTCAGTTTCAATTTGAATACAGTTGTTTTACCAGGTATTTTTTTATTTTCAGCTTTCATCGTTGAATGATTCCCCGCAATTAATGGTGTCTTTCTTCTCTCTGATTTTTCCGTTTAAACTTTTCGATTTCTGACTCTTTCGCAATTCATTTTTCCGACTGTGTTTTCTCTCATTTATCATTCTTGCGGTGGATAAATTGCGGGCTTAAGAGACGTCTAGGTGCGGATAGAGATCCCCTTTGTATTTAAACTAGCGGACGGCGCTTGATGTGGAGCAGTGGCGGGCGTCGCACCTCCGAGTTCAAGGCTAACCACCACCCAGCAGAGGAACTGTGTCGGGGATTTTCTGGCTGCGCGCCGTGAATCACTCTCGCACCTGTATACAAACGTTACGGGACTCATTCACGTTGTATAGAGGCGAATAAAGAGCCTCTGAAGGGCACAGTTATGTTTCAATGTTTTTCTTCCCATTTTTTTCGAAAAAGCTTTGTCATTACGAATCAAGGACAACTTTTCCACCTTGAATTGAAGTTATGCCTGAGCATGTTCCATCATTTCAGATGCTCGACCACCTCCACCAAAACACCCCAACCTAACACCAGACCCATGTTTATCATTTCAGCATTTAGCGTAAAAACAAGAAAAACGAGGCTTGAAAAAATTGCAGAAAACCCATGAGAATCTGTTAAACCCGAGTTGATGGCCTCGAATCATCAATCATTCATTTGCCAGTGATTCCACCCCCCAAAAAGAAATAATAAAACTCCATTACGCCCCCTGAGGATCCCATCAACCGCAAAGTAATATTAACGACCGCAAAAATCCAAAAATTTTGGTGTTTTTCACATCGTGCCTGGTACGTGTACGGTAAGTGAAGTGAGTGAATAATTTTGCCCTCTCATTTTTTTCCCTATCGTGAACCCCACAACTCATTAGCCCAGCACACCTGCCCAACGAGCCTCCACAGATTCCCTCGTCTTCAGGGTTCTCCACTGCAAAACCGAATTTATACCATAAATAAAAAAAAAGTGCAAAACTGAGAAGCCGAAAATGCACTCTGCACACGCAATTTTTGTACGATAGAGGCTCGCACACGATTTAGGAAAGGAAGAAGGCGGGTTAGCGAAGTGAATACGATGAAGAGTGAGGGTTTTTTTTAGGAAATGGAGGGGAAGTGAAGTAAGCGGCAACTATGCGACTGACGTTGCACTGATGCCAGTGGCCCCTTCGGCCACATACACACGCGTTAACCCTCACCCCTCCGCCCCCCCTTCTCCTCTCGCCGATACTTCCTTACATTCCCTCCTCCACCCGCCCACCCAAAACCCATCTCACTCGGTTTTACTTGGCTCTCATTGCCTTCTTTTTCTGGCACACGCGCCCCCTTCTTTTCTGCTAGCATTCGAAAACATTTGGCGGTCATTGAACCCCTACCGTTCACGGTCCCCGGGTTCTCTTCTAAACCCACCAAACAGCCCAACAACAACCAACTATTCTCCTCGTTGAGTATAAAGTGCATTAAACGATGTGGTATAAAAAAAAAGAAGTACAGGTTTGGTTTTATGTGCTGGAACAAAATTCTCGGACTGAAGTAATGAGGATTGTGATTGTAAGGGGTAATTACTTTCTTGGTGATGAAAAAATAGTCTTGGGGATTTCACTTTTGATAAAAAGTGCTTCACTTCACGCTTCACGCTTCACTTTTTATGAAAAATGATTGCTTCAGAGAGGGGCAAATCAATCAAATCAATTTGGATTTTTTTGGTAATTCGGGAGGAGCTTTTCTACAATCTGACAAAATCACAACAAAAATCGTCTTTTGAAATCTTATTCTGAAAGTATTGAGTACATAAACAACTTCATATTCGATAGGAAATACAAAAACTATCTGAAACTTTTCACCCCTTTTCTGTACATTGATTTGTCAGTTCTGGAATTACACTGCTAGAAATTTTGTGAAATTCAATCGGATTTAGGGAAGAAAATGGTTATGAAATTTCAAGTTTTAAGTAAAATTCACGGAAATCCATGAGTTTTCAGTGAGAGTGAGATGAAAATTTCACAACTTGATTGATTTTTCAGTGGAAAATGAATATTCAGAAAAAAAATAATATGAATTTTCATTTTTTCCCTGTATTTTTCTGATTTTTCTGAATTTTCACCGAATAATTGAACTAAAAATCAAGTATTTTATTGATTTTCAGATCATTTGAATACAAAATAAATGGAATATTTCATTTTTCAATGATACGATTTACTGAAATTTCGGTGGAGCTGGAACACGATAAAAATTTCCGTAATTCACGGAATTTCATGAGTTTTTAATGGGAGTGAGATGGAAATTTCACAAGTTGATTGATTTTTCAGTGGAACATGAATATTCATAAACAAAATGACATGAATTTTCAATTTTTCCCCGTATTTTCCTGATGTTTCTAAATTTTCGCAGAATAATTGAACTGAAAAATCAAGTATTTTATTGATTTTTAGATCATGTCAACAGAAAATCAAGGGAATATTTCATTTCTCAATTACAAGATTCCCTGAAATTTCGGTGGAACTTGAACACGATTAAAATTTCCGGAAGTTGCTCGGAAAATTCACCCGAAAATTTGTAACCAGTATATCTCAAAAACTAGTAATTTCTGAAGAAAAATGTCAAAAAAACATTTTTGTTGCTGAGAAAATTACTTATGCAAAATTTATTCTGACATTCCTCTCTAAAATCACTTTTTCGCATGATAAGTGCTAAAGTTTAACTTGGCTTATTCGTCTGATCAAGTCTCACCACTCGAATCTGCAAATTCAAAATCTCCAGAAAAAATAGCTCAGGAATTTGAAAATGCATGTGTCACATGGGATATT